TTTTGTAGTAAAGCGTGTGTTGTGTGTTGTGTTTTTAAAGTGTGTTGTGTGTTGTGTTGTGTGTTTGTGTAGTTTAAAGCTTGTGTGTGTGTGTGTGTTTTGTGTTTAAAGTGTGCGTGTGTGTGTGTTTGTGTGTTTGTGTTGTGTTTAAAGTGTGTGTTGTGTTGTGTGTTGTTTAAAGTGTGTGTTTGTGTGTTTGTGTGTGTGTGTGTTGTGTTTAAAGTGTGTGTTGTGTTGTGTTTAAAGTGTGTGTTGTGTTGTGTTTAAAGTGTGCGTTGTCTTGTGTGTTTGTGTGTGTTTTGTAGTAAAGTGTGTGTGTGTTGTGTTTAAAGTGTGTGTTGTGTTGTGTTTAAAGTGTGCGTTTGTGTGTTTTTGTGTGTGTTTGTGTGTTTTGTAGTAAAGCGTCGCGGAGGAAGAGGAGAGAAGAGGCTCAGAAACTTCCAGAAGTTTCCAGTGAAATGTTCTTCGAGGTGTCGGCCGATCTGAAGGTCGTGTTTGGGAAAGAGACGGAAAACCAGGAGAAGAAGGACGAGGAAGAGGAGAAGAACTGGGACCAGGAGGAGGGAGGAGACGAGGAGCGAGGAGACGAGGAGCGAGGAGAGCGAGAGACGAGGAGCGAGGAGACGAGGAGGGAGGAGAGGAGACAGAGAAGGAGGAGAGCGGAGGATTCAAATTCTCATTTTTTGGAGATGAACCTGAACCAGAACCACAACAGACTGGTGAGTCCTGGTTTAGACCTGGTTTAGTCCTGGTTTAGTTCTGGTTCAGTCCTGGTTTAGTCCTGGTTTAGTCCTGGTTTAGACTGGTTTAGTCCTGGTTTAGTTCTGGTTTAGTCCTGGTTTAGTCCTGGTTTAGACCTGGTTTAGTGAGTTCTGGTTCAGTCCTGGTTTAGTCCTGGTTTAGTCCTGGTTTAGTCCTGGTTAGACCTGTTTAGTTTAGTCCTGGTTTAGTCCTGGTTAGTCCTGTGGTTTAGTCCTGGTTTAGTCCTCCTGTTTAGTCCTGGTTCAGTCCTGGTTTAGTCTAGTCTGGTTTAGTCTGGTTTAGTCCTGGTTTAGTCCTGTTCTTTAGTCCTGTTTAGTTTAGTCCTGGTTAGTCCTGGTTCAGTCCTGGTTTAGTCCTGGTTTAGTCCTGGTTAGTCCTGGTTCAGTCCTGGTTTAGTCCTGTTTGGTTTAGTCTTGGTTCTGGTTTAGTCCTTGGTCCTGGTTTAGTTCTGGTTTGATTCTGTTTTTTCTGTTTCAGAGTATAAAGTGCAGAGTATTTTGGCCCCCAAGTTGTCATGGCAACAGGACCCCAGACTGAACGACAGCAGCGAAGAAGAGGAAGAGGAGGAGAGAGGAGAAGAAGAAGAGGAGGAAGAGGAGGAGAGAACTGCACCAGAGGAATCTACAGAGTGAGAATCACACATTATGAAAACTTTAAACACGGAGTATTTTACTGAACTGACTTTTGTGTCTTTCTCTCATGTTCTAACATTGTTCTTTATTAAAAAGTTTGAGGTGTACGAGGCTCCGCCCACAAGCCTACGTCCCCAGGCTCCCACACACTCCCACAGTACGAGCGTGTACGAGGCTCCGCCCCCATGCTCCCACATGACAATTCTCCATAAACTCACAAAAAAAAAAAAACATGACACAAACTGAACACAGCGACTGGACAAACCTGATGTTCATGCAGGAGTTTCTTTAGTGCGACGCACAACGAGTGTGTGTGAGAGTGCTCTGAAGGGGGAGAGAGTTGGCACAGGGAGCAAAGAGAGGAGAGACTTAAACTGAAACTTATAAAACATGTGAATCTGTTGTTTTGGGCAAATAAAACATTTTTAGAACCTTTGAACAACATAACACCGCAGGAGTAAAAGTTTCTCTGTAACACCACAGGAGTAAAAGTTTCTCTGTAACACCACAGGAGTAAAAGTTCATATGTAACACCACAGGAGTAAAAGTTCATATGTAACACCACAGGAGTAAAAGTTTCTCTGTAACACCACAGGAGTAAAAGTTTCATATGTAACACCACAGGAGTAAAAGTTCATATGTAACACCACAGGAGTAAAAGTTCATATGTAACACCACAGGAGTAAAAGTTTCTCTGTAACACCACAGGAGTAAAAGTTTCTCTGTAACACCACAGGAGTAAAAGTTCATATGTAACACCACAGGAGTAAAAGTTCATATGTAACACCACAGGAGTAAAAGTTTCTCTGTAACACCACAGGAGTAAAAGTTCATATGTAACACCGCAGGAGTAAAAGTTTCTCTGTAACACCACAGGAGTAAGAGTTCATATGTAACACCGCAGGAGTAAAAGTTTCTCTGTAACACCACAGGAGTAAAAGTTCATATGTAACACCACAGGAGTAAAAGTTCATATGTAACACCACAGGAGTAAAAGTTCATATGTAACACCACAGGAGTAAAAGTTCATATGTAACACCACAGGAGTAAAAGTTCATATGTAACACCGCAGGAGTAAAAGTTCTCTGTAACACCACAGGAGTAAAAGTTCATATGTAACACCACAGGAGTAAAAGTTCATATGTAACACCACAGGAGTAAAAGTTTCTCTGTAACACCGCAGGAGTAAAAGTTCCTCTGTAACACCGCAGGAGTAAAAGTTTCTCTGTAACACCACAGGAGTAAAAGTTCCTCTGTAACACCGCAGGAGTAAAAGTTCATATGTAACACCACAGAGTAAAAGTTCCTCTGTAACACCCGCAGGAGTAAAAGTTCCTCTGTAACACCGCAGGAGTAAAAGTTCGGTCTTTAAACTGTTTTGTTGTGATTTCAGAGCGTCGTCGAGTCTGTTCTTCTTCTCCTCCGGCGACCCGCGGCTCACAGGTCAGAGCTCCCGGTGCATCATGGGACGTGTAGTCTTTAGAACCACAGTCCGACCTTTGACCTGTTGGTTTTGTTTCAGACGGACCTCGATGGTTCTGCAGAACTTCACTGGAGGAACAGAGAGAGACCTGGGACCAGACCAGGACCCAGCTCAGACAGGTACTAGACCAGGACCAGACCAGGACTAAAACTGGACCAAACGAGGACTAAACTGGTTTTGTGTTTGGTTCCAGGACTGTAAGAAGAAGCACAAAGACGCTCGGAGGAAACTGCGAGCGCCGCGCTGAGCATCATGGGAAAAAAAACAAAAAAACGTTTCTGTTTCTGTTGTAATATTTGTTTTGTTTCACATTTGTAAATTAAACCACTTAAAAAAAATAAAACATTTTAAACTGCGGAATGTTTGAGTCCGTTCTGTTCAGTGTGTGAAGTGTTCTGTGTGTGAAGTGTTCAGTGTGTGAAGTGTGCTGTGTGTGTGAAGTGTTCAGTGTGTGAAGTGTGTGAAGTGTTCTGTGTGTGAAGTGTGTGAAGTGTTCAGTGTGTGAAGTGTTCTGTGTGAAGTGTTCTGTGTGTGAAGTGTTTAGTGTGAAGTGTTCAGTGTGTGAAGTGTTCTGTGTGTGAAGTGTTCAGTGTGTGGTGTGTGTGTGAAGTGTGTGTGAAGTGTGTGTGTTAGTGTGTGAAAGTGTTCAGTGTGAAGTGTGTGAAGTGTTCTTGTGTGAAGTGTGTGAAGTGTTCTGTGTGTGAAGTGTTCAGTGTGTGTGTTCTGTGTGTGAAGTGTTCAGTGTGTGAAGTGTTCAGTGTGTGAAGTGTTCAGTGTGTGAAGTGTTCTGTGTGAAGTGTTCTGTGTGTGAAGTGTTTAGTGTGAAGTGTGAGTGTTCTGTGTGTGAAGTGTTCAGTGTGTGAAGTGTTCTGTGTGTGAAGTGTTCAGTGTGTGAAGTGTGAAGTGTTCAGTGTGTGAAGTGAGTGTGTGAAGTGTGTGAAGTGTTCTGTGTGTGAAGTGTTCAGTGTGTGAAGTGTTCTGTGTGTGAAGTGTGTGAAGTGTTCTGTGTGAAGTGTTCAGTGTGTGAAGTGTTCTGTGTGTGAAGTGTTCTGTGTGTGAAGTGTTCTGTGTGAAGTGTTCAGTGTGTGAAGTGTTCAGTGTGTGAAGTGTTCTGTGTGTGAAGTGTTCAGTGTGTGAAGTGTTCAGTGTGTGAAGTGTTCTGTGTGTGAAGTGTTCTGTGTGTGAAGTGTTCTGTGTGAAGTGTTGTGTGTGAAGTGTTCTGTGTGTGAGTGTTCTGTGTGAAGTGTGTGTGTGAAGTGTTCTGTGTGTGAAGTGTGTCTGTGTGAAGTGTTCTGTGTGTGAAGTGTGTGTGAAGTGTTCTGTGTGAAGTGTTCTGTGTGAAGTGTTTAGTGTGAAGTGTTCTGTGTGTGAAGTGTTCTGTGTGTGAAGTGTTTAGTGTGAAGTGTTCAGTGTGTGAAGTGTTATGTGTGTGAAGTGTGTGAAGTTTCTGTGTGAGTGTGTGTGAAGTGTTCTGTGTGAAGTGTTCTGTGTGAAGTGTTCTGTGTGTGAAGTGTTCAGTGTGTGAAGTGTTCTGTGTGTGAAGTGTTCAGTGTGTGAAGTGTTCTGTGTGAAGTGTTCTGTGTGTGAAGTGTTCTGTGTGTGAAGTGTTCTGTGTGAAGTGTTCTGTGTGAAGTGTTCTGTGTGTGAAGTGTTCTGTGTGTGAAGTGTTCGTTGTGAAGTGTTGTGAAGTGTGTGAAGTGTTCAGTGTGTGAAGTGTTGTGAGTGTGTGAAGTGTTCGTGTGTGTGAAGTGTCTGTGTGTGAAGTGTTCAGTGTGTGAAGTGTTCAGTGTGTGAAGTGTTCAGTGTGTGAAGTGTTCTGTGTGAAGTGTTCTGTGTGTGAAGTGTTCAGTGTGTGAAGTGTTCTGTGTGTGAAGTGTTCAGTGTGTGAAGTGTGTGAAGTGTTCTGTGTGTGAAGTGTTCTGTGTGAAGTGTTCTGTGTGTGAAGTGTTCAGTGTGTGTGTGAAGTGTTCTGTGTGTGAAGTGTTCTGTGTGTGAAGTGTTCAGTGTGTGAAGTGTGTGAAGTGTTCAGTGTGTGAAGTGTGTGTGTGAATGTGTGTGTGAAGTGTTCTGTGTGTGAAGTGTTCTGTGTGAAGTGTTCTGTGTGTGAAGTGTTCAGTGTGTGAAGTGTTCAGTGTGTGAAGTGTGTGTGTTCAGTGTGTGAAGTGTTCAGTGTGTGAAGTGTTCTGTGTGAAGTGTGTTGAAGTGTTCAGTGTGTGAAGTGTTCAGTGTGTGAAGTGTTCAGTGTGTGAAGTGTTGTGTGTGTTCTGTGTGTGAAGTGTTCTGTGTGAAGTGTTCAGTGTGTGTGTGTTCAGTGTGTGAAGTGTTCAGTGTGTGAAGTGTTCAGTGTGTGAAGTGTTCAGTGTGTGAAGTGTTCTGTGTTTTCACTTCCGTTTCCTCGGGGCTTTTATTGTGACAGCGCGGACCGTTGACTCCGGAAGCAGCGCGCGCGCGGAGTGTCGCTGTTTTTAGTTTAAAGAGAAGTTGAAGAGCCGCGCGCCTCAGAGCCGGAGCCGGAGCCGCAGGAGTCACGGCTCTTCTGGATCCGAGTCTCTGTGTGACTCATGTTCTGTTTGTAATTACAACTAATGAGAGCGCGCGCGAGGACAACATGAGCGCGTGCTGGACTCTGGTTGTGCTGCTGCTGTGCGCGCGAGGACACCGGGCAGAGGACCCGAGGCAGGACCCGGGGCAGGACCCGAGGCAGGACCCGAGGCAGGACCCGGAGAGGGATGCTCTGGAGGTGCGGAGAGCGGGGACACTGACCCGCGGAGCCCGGAGAGGAGCGCCTTCTGCGGGCTTCAGTCCAGAGAGAGTCCGAGAGGATGCGGCGCGTCCGGAGGAGATGGAGCCGAGTCACCGCGGGGACACTCGGGTCTCTCCTCCCGGGGACACTCGGGTCTCTCCTCCCGGGGACAGGGGGAGTGTTTCTCCCGGGGACAGGAGGAGGTTTCCCCGCGGGACAAAGGGCGCGGGTCGGAGGAGGGACCGGACTCGGAGCACTTTGGATCCGGACCGTTTCTTCACGACGCCGCGCACCGCGCCGCCGCCCGTGAACGCATCGGTGCGCGCGGCGCTGTTGCCGCTGGGCGCGGGCGCGCGCTGGGCGTACGCGGTGCTGCTGCTCGCGCTCGTGCTCTTCTCCGTGGGGCTCGTGGGGAACCTCGCGCTCATGTGTCTCGTGTGGCACAGTCTGCACCTGAAGAGCGCGTGGAACTGCGTGCTCGCGGGGCTCGCGCTCTGGGACTTCCTCGTGCTCTTCTTCTGTGTCCCCGTGCTCCTGCTGCACCAGCTCACGGGCGCGCGCCTCGCGCTCTCCTGCAGCCTCGTGCCCTTTCTAGAGGTGAGCGCGCGACATGATGATGT